GTGTGCTGTAAACGCGTGTACTGTAAACGCGTGTACTGTAAACGCGTGTACTGTAAACGCGTGTGCTGTAAACGCGTGTGCTGTAAACGCGTGTGCTGTAAACGCGTGTGCTGTAAACGCGTGTGCTGTAAACGCGTGTACTGTAAACGCGTGTACTGTAAACTGTAAACGCGTGTACTGTAAACTGTAAACGCGTGTACTGTAAACGCGTGTACTGTAAACGCGTGTACTGTAAACGCGTGTACTGTAAACGCGTGTGCTGTAAACGCGTGTACACGCGTGTACTGTAAACGCGTGTGCTGTAAACGCGTTTACTGTTAACGCGTGTACTGTAAACTGTAAACGCGTGTACTGTAAACGCGTGTACTGTAAACGCGTGTACTGTAAACTGTAAACGCGTGTACTGTAAACGCGTGTACTGTAAACGCGTGTACTGTAAACGCGTGTACTGTAAACGCGTTTACTGTAAACGCGTCTACTGTAAACGCGTGTACTGTAAACGCGTGTACTGTAAAACCGGAGGAATGTACGCTCAAAACAGGAGGAACGTCCGCTCAAAACCGGAGGAATGTCCGCTCAAAACTGGAGGAATGTCCGCTCAAAACCGGAGGAATGTACGCTCAAAACCGGAGGAATGTCCGCTCAAAACCGGAGGAATGTACGCTCAAAACCGGAGGAATGTACGCTCAAAACCGGAGGAATGTACGCTCAAAACCGGAGGAACGTCCGCTCAAAACCGGAGGAATGTACGCTCAAAACCGGAGGAACGTCCGCTCAAAACATGAGGAACGTCCGCTCAAAACCGGAGGAATGTCCGCTCAAAACTGGAGGAACGTCCGCTCAAAACTGGAGGAACGTCCGCTCAAAACATGAGGAATGTCCACTCAAAACCGGAGGAATGTCCACTCAAAACGTGGAGGAATGTCCGCTCAAAACATGAGGAATGTCCGCTTAAAACATGAGGAATGTCCGCTCAAAACCGGAGGAACGTCCGCTCAAAACTGGAGGAATGTACGTTCAAATCTGGAGGAATGTCCGATTTTGTGAGGAATGTACAAATTTCGGAGCAATGTCCAAATTAGATTGGTCGGGGTGTACAATTGAGGAGTATCTAGAGCGCTGCGCACTCCCCCCCTGCGTGTTTCGTGTTTGACCCCAACCAAGGGCTATCAAAGGAACGCGTTAAAAAACTCTTCAAAACGCTGTATCGAAATTCCCACCCGCCCCGGAGCCTGCACAGGAGGCTAACAGAAACTGTCATTCTCATATAAGACCGTTCAACCAAAGCCGAATCTGATAATATCTTTAAACCATGGTCAATATTGACAGAATGAGGCCATATTTTCATTTCATAATTTGCATATACAGCTCGAGTTAAGTGACGACTCAATCAACTGGATGACATTTCCAAGATTCAGACAAATATTAAAGTCCTTCGCTATACATGTATAGTAAAAAGACGTCTAATCCATGGAGGAAAAAAATCAAGCTTCTTGCTACAGGTCACAGGAAAAACTTGTCGCAATCAATTTTAACAACCTGCTGTATGCATTGCTGTAGTGTTACGTCCTCTGGCGATAAGATGCTGCAGTACAAAACTCGCCGAGTGCTATGTAACGCCAACTTGTACCTGGCGTATATTTGAGCACTTTTGACTTTTAATTCCCTCTTTGTCTTCTTTTCTTCTGTTTTACTTCACGTGTTATCTCTCTCTCTCTTGGGTCAATTTCTACTCTTACCAGCAGCCTCCCGAAGCCTGGTAGATGATTTAGCAGTGCTACATGATTAGCCTCTACCAGGCTTCGGGAGGCGGCTGGAAAGAGTAGAAATCGGCCAAATAGAGAGATAACATGCCGGGGGAGTTTTCCTGCGGCAAAATGTTTTCTCCCCGAAGACCAACTCCCCCGGCATGTTATCTCTCTCTTAAGCCAATTTCTACTCTAGAGCTAGAAATTCAAGGGTTAGGTGTAACAAGTCGATCGGTGTAATATAGCCAGCTGCCGCCGCGCCGCGTGCTTGCGAAGCTGGTGTGTTACGCCGAAAGGCGGTTATACTGGCTATACAGATACAGATACTCCTTCCAGCCGCCTCCCTAAGCCTGGTAGATGATTTAGCAGTGCTACATGATGTTGTTTGACACCGCGTGCTGAAGGCGTGATTTGGAACTCTTAAACCACGTGGGGAAAACGTGAATTAGAGACAACCTGTTGTGCAGCACGTGGGTAACACGTGAAAAAGTGTGGCCTCATCCCTTGTTCCCCGCGTGCACAAAAACGCTGACACGGAGAATTTGCCAACTTTGAACAACTATTCCAATTAGACCCTCCAAAGATGGGGTGTAACAGGTCTTTCGGTGTAATATACTTAGCAGACACCTGTATCTGTATAGCCGGTATAACCAATCCTTCAGCGTAACACGCCAGCTTCACAAGCACGCGGCGAGGCGGCAGCTAGCTATATTACACCGAAAATTACACCCAATCTTTGGACATCGACATTTAATTGGAGTTGTTTAAAGCTTTCTAGTGATATATAATTATTAAGGGTCACGCTACAGGCATGTTACAGGGGACGCTCAAACACATGTTTTTACACTAAGCGTGTCGGACAACTGCACACTTATAAGTAGAACCATATTGGTCACAGCATGATGCAATAGCCGACCAATCTACTGCAATTCGCTTTTGTTACTCCTAACCTTGCATTGGTCCACATGGACGACAGTGAGTTGTATATGGAGACACCTGAACTTGTGGCAAGACTGGGGGAGTAAGTGAGTGAGTTACTATTGCTATAGCCGGCCAACATCGCTCCACTGAGTTCGCCTTTGATGATCTTTGATACTCCTAAACCTTGGCTCACTTCAACTCAATTACCAAGTACCTTCTCCGTAAAATAACAGCTGTAGATTTATACCTTTCTTTGAGCCTTTTCTAGCCTGGATGCCAAGCCCAAAGCACTCTGAGGCCAATATCCAGTGTGCAAGATATTATTTTGGACACAGTATGCTATGGGTCTGGCATCCAGGATAGGCCTTTTCCTGCCATGCACGTAACACATTCTAACGGTACCGGTACAAAAAGGAAAGGTCAATAAAAATATCTAAAACCACGTCAAAAGTAAAGCCTGAGCCCTTGCTCTTGCTTGTAGACTAACGCCCTGAATGAGTGAGTGAGTGAATGAATGAGTGAGTGAATGAAAAAGACGTAAAAAACTAATCCTAAGCCCAAATCTCTGCTTGGAGACTAACGCCCTGAATGAATGAGGGAGTGGATGAGTGAGTGAATGAATGAATGAATGAATAAAAAAGACGTCAAAAACTAAGCCTAAGCCCAAACCTCTGCTTGGAGAGTAGCTGTGGAGTAAAACTAGACCGTCGCCCTCCCTTGACCGGACAGTCAGCAAAACCGTGAGCAGCCACCATGACCCCCCCCCCTACGTCATACACACGGGCCCACCTGTTTCACATAAGGCACTTCTAACGCGATTCTGTGGATCTCGTCACACTTGGGTTTTTTATCTGTAAGAAACAGGAGCCGGGCCGGGGTTCGAACACACGACCTCCCGAGCACCAGCATCAGACTCCGACGCTCTAACCACTCGGCTAAAAGGTCTAGACCCATCGACCGGGTCAGTTGGTAGCGCCTATAAACCCCCCACTGTTACACAACTCCCCCTTTTCTTTTTTTTATCCGTCGGGAAAAAAGTTGGCTCACCTCTATTACATGACAAGTCCCTTTGGTTCTTGTGACATTCTTCAAAAGTAAATAATTTTTCAAAAGTAAATAATTCAAGATTTTAAATCGTAAGAAATCAGCAATTCAGCCATTTAGGCTAACATAGACTTTTAGCCTGTATGTTAATGTGTTTATGTACAAAATAAACCAGTTATAGTCTTAATCGTAATAATAACAATCATCACCAAAAATATCAAAATACGCCGCAAAATGTGAAAACGGGATGATTTTCGTATGGCCTGTTTTTTTTATCCTCGAGTGAAATTTGTCCAAGTGACGCCAACCATATCATTAACTTCGATCCGCCCGGCCTAACATGGGTATAAAATGGGGGAAAGTTCCGAAAATCGTCCTCTTTCCACAAGAACGCTGAGCTAGTGAGAAGTCCACCCTCAGAGCCAACAATACATCCCCGGCTATACTTCGGTGAGTTATTTTCTTTCCTCTTTTTCTGTATCTGTAGCCTCCACCAGGCCTTCTTACGGGAATACGGGTAGTAGAATTCGGCAAAAAAGAGAGTAAAATTGGCCAAGGGAGTCTGGCCGCGGGGAGGTAGTTGCTTTCCCTCCAGTCAAACCTACAAGGCGGCCAAACTCGTTACTCCCCTGGCAATTATTCTCCTATATATAGAGACTATATCTTTCGTCTTTGTCTAATTTTTGTTCGTTTGTTGTACGGGAGAGTTGAATGTGTTTTCGTTAGATTTTATCATTATTCTTTTAATCCACAAGGCTGTTAATTAACAAAATTTTTTTTTAAGTTTTGCTCACACAGAAAGTTTACAATTTTATAAAAGGGTTAGAGTGTATGGTTGTTAAGCGTTTTCCGTCAGCGCTAAATACTTTACCGTTCGCATAAGATAGATAGTGGTAGCTAGAAAACGCACGGCTTAATTCTCTTGAACAAAGTTTTTTTTTCTTGAGGTTGGTTATCTGTTATTTGCGCTCGGTCAAACTTCAGATGACTTGAGAAATACTTAAGATAACTCGCTACCGTCCCTACTGATAGTTTCAGAAACAGGTCATATAGGACCCATTTTTTTAAAATATTCCGCCACGAATATCTTCTGTCTGGACCGTTCAGACAGAAAAAGGTGGTAGTTTTTTTTAGAAAAAAAAAATTAAGACCGGAGCCTACCCGGAAAGCCCGCGGGTGCTCCACAGCTGTGAAAACGCGCTGACAAGTCTGCCGGGTCAGGCTGGTGAAAGATATCTTGAAAACTTGGCAAGTCTTGGAACCTGCAGCTTAAACCATAGTCTGTTTATCCGTAAACTAGTTACAAGTCCTTCTTGCAGCTGTTGGTTCCGAAAGCATCCCTAATTTTTTACTTCACTGCCCCATATACTCCCAACATCGTGCACGCCTCCTCGACAGACTAACTATGTTCTTGGAAACGCAGAGACTATCCAGAACCGTGCCTGGTCCTAAACCTAACCCATTCAGGCATAGAACTAGATAGGCACTAGCCTGTTTAAATATTTACGGAGAGGATGTAGGACTCGGAAGCTATGATAGGTTTGGTAACTAGGCTAGATAGGCACGGTTCCGGATAAGATAGAAGCGCCGCTGCCGCGTAAGTTGACTTCGCACACGCATCACTTTGTATGGGCCCAATCTAGCTAATCTCCAAGCAGATACTAAGGGGAAGCTGGCGCGTAACTTCTTTTCGAACCTGTGCAGTAGTGAAGGTAAAGGTACCGTTCCACTCTGGGCAGAGCATAGGGGTGGTGCCCATCTCTATTTCCGTAGCCCTTGGGCCACACAGTTGTGCAACCACTACAGCAGGGGGCTAGTCCTATGTAGTGTAACCTAGTACATAAATGTGTACTCTGATATTATATGTAGATGAATCTGTAAAATAACTCCTTTTGATTCTGTACTTACTGAGTTTCTGTACTTGTCACTTTCTTTAGTCCGGCTGATCCTGTGACGTCATCATGTTTCCGCTTCCGGTGTTCGCGCTTCTTCTGGTTCTACCCACAATTCCCGCACAGCAAGGTGAGCACTTTGCACCTACACATGGGGGTAGAAATAGAACTGATCAATGCATTGGTTGATAAAGCAATCTATCAATCTATCTATCAACCCATCAATTTTATTGGTTGGGGTCGTGTGGCGTAGCGGCAGAGTGCTCGACTCGGAACCAAGAGATCCCGGGTTCGAGTCCTGACATGCCACCGATCTTGTGCCATTGGGAAATGCACTTTTAATACACGACTTTCCTCACTTTACTCAGGTGAAAATGAGTATTGTATTATCCTCTGTGTTGGTGGCAGCATTAATATCAGTTGAAAAAACCTGAGTGTGCCGTCACCACGTCTTGTGACTACATTTTGGAAAACAATATTGAACAAAAATTGTAATAGGTACATTCTATAGCAAGTAAAGTAAAGTATTGTAAACAGCTTTCTTTCCTTTCCTCCCCATGGCCCAGTAGCATAATCAAACACTCAAAACGACAAGACATTTAACACGTTAGTAACACGTTAGTGTTACGATGACCGCGGGTGCCCCCTCCCTAGTACCCGTACTGGCGCGGGGTTAAGCACCACGGTTCGTGTTGTAGCCGCGGGGTTTAAAACGCGAGCGGTACTCTTAAATATACAGTGACAAGTGCTCCTGGCACCCGGCCCTGGTGATTATATGCTGGTTCAAGCGCTTCTGTACTGACCGCTAGTGAACCCGTTCTAAGCAGGTCTGGTAACGTTCAGACATAGTTCCTGTAGTAGCTGTTCCTATAGGAGGCTTTACTGAATGCGAATGGTTTTTTAAATCTGAAGCGACATTTTACAAGTGCTCCTGGCACCTGTACCTAGTGATTACACTATAACAGCCGCCTCTGTACTGACCGCTAGTGACCCTTAGCCGGTCTGGTAATGTTCAGACAATTGCTGAAGACTTTTGCAGGAGACCAAATCTGTTCTCGATGAGTTTTTGCATCAGACCAAATCATGATCTGGCTGGGTGTCAGACTGTTTCTAGGGCAGCTCCTTGGCTCTAGTCTAGGGACAACATGATCTAATACGCCTCCAATATTAAGACAAGTGATTGCTGAAGACTTTTGCAGTAGACCAAGTCTGTTACTGATGATTTTTTGCATCAGACTGAATCATGATTGGGCTGGGTGTCAAGCTGTTTCCAGGACAGCTCCTTGGCTCTAGTCTAGGGACAACATGATCTAATATGCTTCCAATATGAAGACAAGTGATTGCTGAAGACTTTTGCAGTAGACCAAATCTGTTACTGATGATTTTTTGCATCAGACCGAATCATGACTGGGCTGGGTGTCAGACTGTTTCCAGGGCCAGCACAGGCCGGCACCTTGGCTCTATAACACGTCTCCAAGGCCACAAGACAAGCGGGGTCTGACGACTTTTGCTGCAGACCAGACATGTCAGGCGCGCCAAATGTGCCACCTATACAGCATTAGGGTCGGGAGTATGGGGCGGGGGAGGGGGGGCACTTGTCGCTTCGTCAAAGTCAAGTGCACCGTACGTGTAGCCAAGTCTGCGGGTCGGATTGTAACCGGCTGAACCGAGAGTCGAGTTTCGGCGGTTCAAAGAACTGGTTTACCAGTTGTCTTAGTGTACACAGACTTTAAAGGCAGATTGTGTTTGTTTATTTGTGTTTATTTGTGTTTATTTGTGTTTATTTGTGTTTGTTTCATCACAGGTCCAGCTGACTGTACGTTTGAGACCGGGCTGTGCTCTCTGTCCCAGGGTACTGATGACGAGTTAGACTGGGAACGACGTCAGGGCGCCACGAAATTCTACAAGACCCTGCCGTCACGTGACCACACCACCGGCACCCGTGAGTTCCCAACTTTGCATTCTTGTAGATTCCAGGAACTCAGAATTCGTCTAAAATCCTACGCTTCCCTTCTCTCTCTCATTCTCTCTCATTCTCTCCTTCTCTATACTCTTTCTTTCTTTCTCTCTCGCTCTCTCCCTCTTTCTCTCTCTCTCGCTGTTTCTTTCTCTCTAGCTCTTTCTCGCTTTCTCAGTCTCTCTCGCCCTTTCTTTCTCTATTTTTTCTCTCTCGCTCTTTCCTTCTCTCGCGCTCTTTCTCTCTCGCTTTCTCTCTCTCTCTCTCTTCCCGTTTCTCCTGATCTCTTCAAATCCATCCTTCCTACTTGTTTCGTCATCAACTGAGGTGGAACATTAAAAAGACATTTCTTGCTATATGAAAAACAGATTCGCAAACCGCAGAACTTGCTAGAAGTAATGTGGACCGACTTGAAGAATCCTCGGTGGTTAGCCAAGACGCGACCTCATCACTTCATTCCACTCTTGGTTTTTGCTTTGCCAAGACTCGCAAGATTTTGGCCTTCCTTCAAGTCGGTTCTCGTCTGCTGCAAATCTGTTTTTCATATAGCGAGAACAAAATGTCTTTAATTTGTGGGTCTGTACGTGTTTCTCATTTAGAATATACTGTAAATCACCTCACAGTTTGCACCTACGTTAGCCTAACCTTGGCCCCTAGAACATGTCAGAAGAATGTCTTAAAGAACTTCAGTGGTTACCGAAGACGCGACCTCTTTACTTCATTTCACTTTTGCCAAGACTCGCATTTTTTGGCCCTTTTTCAAGTCGTCTGCAGATCTGTTTTTGATATAGCGAGAAATGTCTTTAATTTGTCTGTCTGGGCGGTTATTCTTAGCTCGGGCTGCTTGCCGCGTGTCGAGGCCAAGACCGGTCTTTCTGACTTTGATTCCACCGGTGGGCCAAGGTTGGGCCAACTTGTGTAGACTTGTGGTGATTTACAGACTCTATTCTGAATGAGAAACACGTACAGATTGAGAAACGGGCCGACTTATGACGCGTGTGTCTGATTATCGATTAGAACCAGCCTGTTTAACCAGCAGGTTACCTTGGTAGTTCCCAGTCACTGCACCTGGCACAGTGAGGAGTGAGTCTGGAATGAATCTGTGCCAATGGGCCGGTAAAGTTGGCTTTATGTAACTTTACTGAAACATCTGTACTCTCCAAGCAGAGGTTAGGTCTGATTTAGGACGTTGCTTGTAGATAAACAATACGTTTTGTCAGGCTGTCTATTTTGTCGGCATTTGTAGCTAGAGTCACATACCAAAAATAGCCTAGAAATACCAAAAGAAACCCCCGTCAAAGCGTCTAGAAGCTTAAGGATTATAAAAACGCAACGCAATTTACTGTCAAAAATTGCTTTTCCCGCACGCTTAAGAAAAAAAATCTTGAGAGGGTCTGCAAGTATCCAAACGTCTAGAGTTTGAGGTCTGCGGACAGGGACAGACCCTGATAGAAGGGAAAAGTCTCGGCCTTATGTCTCGCAAAGGATGAAGAGGATAAGTAAGTAAAGACAGAGATTTATCCTGATGATTCGGACATGACAAAAATCGCAGATGTCATCAATAAAATTAAATCGGTGTGGCCTTACGGCAAATTACGAATGAATTACGTTGATTTCGGGCGGTTGCCTGCGGATTATGAAGACTAAAAAGGCCTGATTACGCCTTATGAAAAAGAAAGGCATGCAGGCCCATGTCAGACTCCCCAATGAGGGCCTGCATGGGGGTTAGTGATTACAACTTAACGCTTTGCGGCTAATGTACTATTACGAAATACGTTGACTTTAGGGGAGGTTGCCTACAGATTATGAAGACTAAAAAGACTTGATAACGCCTTATGAAGAAAAGACATGCAGGCCCATGTCGAGTCAGACTCCCCCAGTCTGGCCACAGATGAAAGAGTCGTCAGGGCGTCTGGAGGTCACTGCCGCGTCTGGAAACAATTTTCCCCGATTTCTAAGAAACTGGGTCAGTCTTGGCGGGGCGTGAACGTCTTGGCGATGAACCTCAGCGGTCACTCCAATTTGTCTTGAGACGTCTCCAAGGACATTCACCCGCAAGTCTTGAGATAATTTACTCCTTCAAGACAGATTGTGAGAAAGTAGGCCAGTTGGGAGATTTATTGGCCGATCTTCACAAAAATCTGTCGCAGCTCCAGTAGGACTGGTTGCCAGTTAAAGGCAATAGAAGAACGACGCGGTGGTATATCAAATACAGAACCGTGCCTGTCTAGCTCTGTACCTGAATGGGTTCGGGTTAGGATCCGCGAGTATGGGAGGCCCGGTAAAGAAATAGGATGGCACCCAGGCTAAGTTCTAGACTTAATGGTTTAGGCACGGTTATGGATACTTCTAAACTATACAGAATCGTGAATACCTAGTTCTATGTCTGAACATGGAGCTCAAAATCAGTAGTTTGGAAATAAAGGTCAGTCTGAGGCGTGAGTCTTTAACTGAGGCGTGAGTTCAAAGTTTTTCATTTGAACCCCTGACCGGCTTGTGGCCATTATGTAAACTGTACCCGAATCCAGTACATGGTCAAGCTAGCAGGCGGTTCCACCGCTTACGGAGATCAGGGCGCGTGTACCTGTGTCTATAAACCTTGTTGGATAAACCTGTTAAACCCCTAATAGGCCGGTCGTGGCTCGGGGGGGGGGTAAATGAGTGTCTAACCGTCCCTTGTTAAACCTTGTTAAACCCCTAAACGGGCCGAAATAGGCTCACGGGGTGAATATGAGTGCCTGACTGTCCCTTTTTAAACCTTGTTAAACCTTGTCAAACCCCTGATGGGCCACAATAGGTGTCTAAATCGGACCTTTTAAAACCTTGTTAAACCTGTAATAGGCTAGCCATGGCTCCTGGAGGGCCAGAAAATGAGCGTCCTTTCGTCCCTTGTTAACCTCTAACAGGCCCAAGTAGGTCGGCCGTAGTCTCCACCAGACTCCTTTGCAGACTGAATGAATAGTAGAAATCGACCAAATTGCCCACTTTTTAATAGGGACTCCCGTGTGTCCTACACACGACCTTGAACAGGGGTCAGCTAATTTGGGTCAATTTGGAGTGACCGGGATTCGAACTCCGGACCATCTGGTCCAGTAGCAGCTTCAGTGACCCGCATGACCCTACCCGCTACTGTTTAGCGACTCCGCGCGTGTTCGATGTATGACCTTGAACAGAGGTCAGCCAAGATGGGTCAATATGGAGGTTAACAAGGTCCGATTAGACACTGATACGGGCCATCTGGCAGTGGCGGCTGGACTAGTGGGACAGTTAGGGGGTTAACGAGGTGGGAGCGGCGGCCGACCTAGTCTCCACCAGACTAGAAATCGGTCTGAAAATAATGTAGCTGTCCAGGGAAGTTTTCTATGCAGGCAAACTGGACCCTCTACACAGGTTTTTCATTTTCCCAATGAGCGGCCGCTACCTCGCCGTGTGCCCTCCCAATCTATGCCGTTATAGACAGAGTGCTGAGTATTTTCTTATGTCCGTGAGTCCCTTTGGCGGTCGCTCTACACAGGTTGCAGCGAGCGGCCACTACCTCGCAGTGCGGTCCCCAGTCTTTCCGCAATACACAGGTGTGACAACATTTTCACACGTTAAAAGACCCTTAAGCGGTCGCTTTACACAGGTTTTTACTTTTTTATACAGTGAGCGGCCATTATCTCGCCGTACGGTCCCCAGTCCTCCCACTCTACGCCCGAACCGCCCGCCTGGAAACTCCCGTCATGCCCGGCGGCCGGAAGTGCCTAACCTTCTACTACCGGATGGACGCAGGGTGTGTGAATTGTTTATTATGTTTACCAAAGGAAAACATAATTATTGTTTTTGCTCAGTCTCTTCTTCTTCTCCAAACAGTGACATCAATGACCTGAACCAATGTTGTGTCTGTTACCATGGTAACTTGTGTTGGGTTACATCATGTTGCAATTTTGTAGCAGGAGGGATTTAGACTCCTGTCTGACCATATACTAGTATATAAATGTGTTTGAGTAAGAATTAACAGAGCAGACCATATGCGAAGGTAAACATTATGCATTTGCCTTGCAAATTCATGTTCAACGTTTTACTATTGCTAAAATTTGTATTAATCATAGATATTCCTCTGCTTTAGGTTCATGGGAGACGCAGACAGAAACACAATGAACGGACTGAACGTTTACGTCATGTACGAGAATGTACTGGGAGATCCTGTCTGGAGCATCATGGATGGAGACCTGTGGACAAGGGCACAGATCACCATAGCTGCACCCAGGGATTTTCAGGTGAGCAAATTCGTTAGTTGTAGCCTCCATAGCAGGCCAAAAACGGGGGGTTTGGGGGTCTTCAGGGTCTTTGGGAGCTTTTATGTGCAATTTTCTGATAGACAACATAGCCGGCCTGGTTGAATTACTCCCGTTTTTGAATCAGAAAACAGCCGAAGACCACCAAACCCCCAGTTCTATAAGCCTGCTACGGAGGCTAATCAGAAAACAGCCGAAGACCACCAAACCCCCAGTTCTATAAGCCTGCTACGGAGGCTAATCAGAAAGCAGCCGAAGACCACCAAACCCCCAGTTCTATAAGCCTGCTACGGAGGCTATGTTAGTTGGTGGTCCTAAAATGGTCCCTTGGGGAACACCAAAGGAAATGTGATCAGCTAAAAGGTAAGGAAATGAGTTGGTTCCTTGTGGAACACTCAGATGAACTTCCTTGTGAGAAGGTCCTGTGGTCCTAAGATTATTCCTTGGGGAAAACTCGTGGGGTTGTGTGGCGCAGCGGCAGAATGCTTGATTTGGAACCAAGAGGTCCCGGGTTCGAGTTCTGACATGCCACCGATCTTGTGCCCTTGGGAAAGGCACTTTACACGACTTTCCTCACTTCGCTCAGGTGAAAATGAGTATTGTATTGTCCCCTGTGTTGGTGGCGGCATTGATATAAGTTGAAAAAACTTGAGTGTGCCGCCATCACGTCTTGTGATTAAATGTTGGAATGAAAAATGTTGGAAAAATGTTGGAATGAAAAAAAGGCATACTGGACTAAGTAATAGACCACACGTGCAGTTAGTAAGACTTAGTACTTAGAATTACTTTGAATTATTCCATATAGACTTCCTATCTCTGTCCCTCTCTCCACATAGATCCTGTTTGAAGGGACCGTGAAGTCACAGTTTGAAGGCAGCGTCGCCATAGACGACATCAGCCTGGCAGAGGGAGCCTGCGACGGTCGGTTCAGACATTTCTTCCTTCGCTACATGTTTGTCACATCATTTGATACATATTTGATACATTTGTAATCCCAGAGGCCTGTGAGAATGACTTTTTCGGTCGCTATCTCTCATGATAATTATGTTTGTCACATGTTCATGCTTGCAACAATTGTTTGAGATATTCCTAACATGTTGCTTGTTTGCTACATGATTGCTACATGTTTGCTACAAATGTATCACACGTGGTCTTACAGAGGACTGTAAGGAGACGTTTTACGGCTGCTGCCGGACCGAACTATCAGGGCTGCCGGCAGTCATGTTTGCTACATGTTTGCTACATGTTTGTTACATGTTAGTTACAAATGTATCACACGTTTTCAGAGGACTGTAAAAACTCGTTCTATGGCTGCTGTCCGGACGAGGTGACTGCTGCCGCCGGGCCGAACTATCAGGGCTGCCGGCAGACCCTTGCTCTGGAGGCCGACGGCGGGCTGGACCAGGCACGGTTCGAGGAACTCTACGTGCGAAGTGAGTCTGGAAGTGTTTTGTTTGCTTGGGTTACATTATGTAGCAAGTGGCAGGACAGGGTTAGGGGGCCAAACTACCAGAAGGACTGGACCAGGCACGGTTCGAGGAACTCTACGTGCGAAGTGAGTCTCGGAAGTGTTTTGTTTGTTTGTTTGGTAACTGGTGCTGTAGCAGACGCCCCGTGGTGTTGGGTTACATTATGTAGTAAGTGGCAGGACAGGTTTGGGGGTGGGGGGTCGAACTTCCAGGGCTGCCGACAAACCCTCGCGCTGGAGGCCGACGGCGGGCTGGACCAGGCACGGTTCGAGGAACTGTACGTGCGAAGTGAGTCTGCAGGTTTTCCTAGATATTTACGTTGGTGAAGGTTAGACATCCAGGTAATAGGATGCGCAAAAAAACAGTTACTCAAGCAACTGGATGTGATTTTGGAAATGGTCAGACGTTTCAGCTATTATCCATTGGCTTTTATCAATGACAACGGAGAGTTGTCAGAAAAGCAGGTTTAAACTTACGAACTAGCCATTCCTAGATATTGTGTGCTTGTAGTGATGTATTACTAAATTTGTTTTGCAAATGTTACCTTTCTCGTTAAATACGCGTTTATCTTCTTGAGGTTTAAACATCGGTTGATCATTTATCATCGATATCAGTTTAATTCATACTAGTATATGAAATTTCTTCCAGGTAGCGACTCTGCGGACTGTGATTTTGAGACGGACCTGTGCGAGTGGCTTCAGGCCGGGGACAACAACATGGACTTCACCCGCGTGAGGGGACAGGCTCGTACACTACAGAACACGCTGCCTGTAGCGGACCATACTACAGGCACAGGTGGGTACTACAGACATGCACATACCACACGCACACACACACACACACACACACACACACACACACACACACACACACACACACACACACACACACACACACACACACACACACACAC